CCCGGACCCGGTGGCTTAAAACTCACGCCGGGCGTGTGTGCGTGCGTGCCCAAGATCCTGAGAGGAGAATGGAGGAGAAGGGACTGCGGCGTGACCATCCCCCCGGGGGGTGATTTCTCGCTTTCTGTCTCTATGTCTCTCTCTGTCTGTCTGGCGAGCGCACACGCCCTATAGCAAAAACCTCTCCAAAAAAAAAAAAAAAAAAGACAGGGGCTGGCAGGTGGTGTGGTTAAGAGTGCTGGACGCCCACATGGCCGACTGCGGTTCAAGTCCCAAACCTGGTGGCTTGCTTTCTCACTTTGCCTCTCTCTCTCGCTCTGTCCCTCTCTGGTCAAATTTAGATAAATAGATAAAACAAAAAGTTAAATAAAATAATTCTTTTAAAAAAAAAAAGTTCCAAAAGACAGTGGCAGAGGTGCAAACAGAAAGAAAATCTTTGCTTGTGGGACCAGCAGTTAGCATAATGGCTATGTCGCTGGACTCCCATGTAGTCGACCATGGTTCAGGTCCTAGACCCAGTGGCTTAAACCTACGCCAGGCATGTGTGTGTGCATGCCCAAGATCCTAAGAGGAGAATGGAGGAGAAGAGACTGCAGCGAGGTCATACCCCCTGGCGGGTGATTTCTAGCTTTCTATCTCTCTGTCTCTCTTTCTGGAAAGCGCACGTGCCCTATCAATAACACAATTTTGGCCAACACAAGATATGGCACTTATTAATTCAGTAGTATCCACTAAATTTACATTTTTTTTTTGCCAGATGGCACCTGAACTCTATGCACTTGCCAGAAAAAGAGAGAAAACACCTGTTAACAAGGCATGGTCACACTGCAATCCGTTTTTCTTCATTTCTCCATCCCACCAGGATTACGTACATGCACACACATGCACCTGGCCTGTTTTATTTTGTTTTTGTTTTTGTTTTTTTTGAGATAGGGTGAGTGCGCTCACCAGACAGACAAAGACAGAGAGACAGAAAGCGAAAAATCACCCCCCAGGAGGGATGGCCACACTGCAATCCCTTCTCCTCCATTCTCCTCTCAGGGTCTTGGGCACTCACGCATACACGCCCAGCGTGAGTTTTAAGCCACCAGGTCCAGGATGTGAACCGCAGTCAACTACATGGGAGTCCAGCGACATAGCCATTACACTAATTGCTGGTCTCCTGGCCTGTTTTTTCAAGCCACCAAGGTCAGTATTCAAACAGCAGTTGGCTCCAACTGCCTATAGGCACTACACTTAAACAATTCTACACAGGACCAACCCTAAACTGACCTATTTCAAAACCTAAATCTATTACTTTTCTTCCACCAAAACTTGATGCCATATTCTTTAAGACATTAAATATAAGTAAATTCGAGTATCAAAATAAATTCACAAGCAATGAAATTATGCCAAGTAACATTCACACACATAAACTTCACAGCTATAAAACTAATTCCACCAAAATTCTGTTACATAGAAGAATATTCAAAAAAAGGAGAGGCAGGAGACCAGCAGTTAGTGTAATGGCTTTGTCACTGACTCCCATGTTGTTGACCGCGGTTCACATCCCAGACCCGGTGGCTTAAAACTGAAGCCGGGCGGTGTGCGTGCATGCCCAAGATCCCTACAGGAGAATGGAGGAAAAGGGATTGCAGCATGGCCATTTCCCCTGGGGGGTGATTTCTCACTTTCTATCTCTCTGTCTCTCTGCCTGTCTGGCGAGCGCACATGCCCTATAGCAAAAACCTCTCCAAAAAAAAAAAAAAGAGAGGCAAAATGTGTCAAATACTTTAAACATAACAAATCCTCTCTCAATCTAAAGGAAAATAAAAGAGATTCTGTTTAGTTATTTTGCTAAATATTTAATTTTCTTAAGTCACAGCTTTCACAGAGGACTGCAGTCTATTTGTGTGTGTATATGTATGTGTGTGTATGTGTGTGAAAATGAGAAAATATAAATCATGAGTTTTTTCCTAGCAATATTACAAAATAAAACATTCTTAAATGTACTGTTGATTTAGAAAAACCAAGTAAATTATTCATTTGGACCTTAAACCTCACAGCTTGGACACCAAAACATAACAGCGTTCACTGATGTACACAAAAATGTCAAAACACTGATAATATTTGAAGATGGACGACATCAGTTCATCATACACTACTCTCTAGTCTTATGTATATTTTCGGAGTCAATGTTAATTTTTTAAAATTGTTTGGGTGTAGGGGCCAAGAAGTAGCGCAGCAGTTACAGAATTGGATGCACATGGAAAAGTTCCGAGTTCATGCCCTGAGACCTCACAGAGCACAAGGGCATGTACATGTCCATAGTCTGGCTTAACTAAAACCAGAGGTAGACTATGGTGTGAAGACCCTGTTGGAGGTGTCTCTCTATTTCTCTCTCATGGAAAAAATAAACAAAAAATAACTTTATAAAAATTGGGTGTATTAAGTGGTCTTCTGAAAAATCTGTAATTCTGGGGCCAGCAGGTGGTGTAGTGGTTAAGGTGCTGGATTCCCACATGGCTGAGTGCGGTTCAAGTCCCAGACCTGGCAGCCTAAAAATTACACAGGGTGTGTGTGCATACGTGCCCAAAATCCCAAGAAGAGAATGAAGAAGAAGGGGGTGTGGCATAGCCATGCCGCATTGGGGAATGATTTCTCACTTTTTCTTTGTCTCTCTCTGGTGAGCACACGTGCCTTTATGGCAAAAGCCTTAAAAAAATAAAAATCAAAACCAAAACTAATTCTAAACCAAACTTGGTAAAGAGAATCAATTTATCAATAACTTATTTGACAAGGTACACTCACTTCAATGTAGTCTCAAATCACATGAACAATTACTCTACCATTACGTAGATATAAACCCCCATCTACTTGAAAGCTACTGAGGAAATACATGCAATTCAATGAAATATATGTCTTATTTTAAAATGTCATACAGTCAATGACTAATAAACAGTTAGGGTCGTGGTCTAGTAATTAAGGGAGCCAGACCCCATATGGTCATAGGTCAGTCACACTGGTGACTGGAAGAACATGCCAGGAGTGTGTTCATGAATGCCCAAAGTCCTGAAAGGATGGAGAGAGAGAAAAGGAATTGTGGCCCAACCATGCCCCACTGCAGGGGAGCTTTCTCCCTCTGTCTGTGTATCTTCAGGGAAAAGGCATGTACCCTATCACAACAGTTTAAAATAATAATATCTAACAACATTCCATTCTTTCTAGAAGTGACAAATTTTCTAGTTCAGTGGTTTGCAAACATTTCAACATTCCTAGAGAAAAGACCCAGCAATGGGACCAGCAGATGGTATAATGGTTATGTTGCTCAACTCCCACATAGTCTACCATGGTTTGAGTCCTGGACCCAGCAGCTTAAAACTAACGCTGGGAGCATATATGCCCCAAATTGTAAGAATGGAGTCCCTTACAGGGTGATTTCTTTCTCTTTCTCTGTTTCTCCAGCAAGCACATGCGCCCCATAGCAAAAACGTCTTTAAAAATAAAAAACAGTAATATATCATCTTCTTTTATAGATGAGGAGTCTTCAAAAGTTCATGAAATGTATGTATTATGAATAAGCTATGCAGGCCAGTAGGTGGTGTGGAGGTTAAGGCATCTGGATCTCATGTGGCTAACTGCATGAGTCCCAGACCCAGTGGCTTGAAAATCACACCTGGCACATGTGCGTGCATGCATGCCCAAAATACTGAGAAGAGAGTGCAAGAGAAGGGAATACAGTATGGCCATCCCCACAAGGGGTGATTTCTCACTTTCCCTCTCTCTCTGTCTCTCTTCAGTAAGTGCACATGCCCTATAACAAAATTTTTAAAAATTAAATTAAATTAAAAAATCATTGTTAAAAAAGTGGAGACAGCAGGTGGTGTGGTGGTTAAGGGCGCTAGATTTCCTCATGGCCAACCGCAGCTCAAGTCCTGGACCTGGCCGCTTGCTTTCTCACTTTCCCTTTCTCTCTCTCTCTCCATCCCTCTCTGGTCAAATTAAAATAAATAAATAAAGTTAAATAAAACAATTCTTTAAAGAAAAGGCATCAACTCAAATTTAAGTTACAGTTAAGCATAAAACTCCATTTGAATATCCTTGTCCATAAAATAAGGTTATTATATCACTTCTTTTTTTTTTTTCTGGAGAGGTTTTTGCTATAGGGTACATTCGCTCACCAGAAAGAGAGAGATAGAAAGCAAGAAATCACCCCCCGAGGGGGGATGTCCACGCTGCAATCCTCCATTCTTCTCTCGGGATCTTGGGCAAGCATGCACATGGCATGAGCTTAAGCCACCGGGTCCAGGACTCGAACCATGGTTGGCTATGTGGGAGTTCAAGGACATAGCCATTATGCTAACTGTTGGTCCCTAGACAGATCACTTCTAAAATCACTTTACAAGTCTAAAATTCACACTCCATGAATGCTAAGTTTAAATAGAGGTCTATATTAAATGAATGAGTGTTCTTAAACATAGCAAAACCCTTCAAATTTTTTTTAAAGAATTTATTTGTTTATTTTGTTTTTGTTATTTTTAAATTTGATCAGAGACAGAGAAAGGAAAAGTGAGAAAGCAAGCCGCCAGGTCTGAGACTTGAATGGTGGTCAGCCATGCAGCACCTTAACCACTATACTACCACTGGACTACCAGCCAGTCCCCCTTCAAACATTTTTAAGGACTCCAGAGAAATACAAGGGAAATCCAAAAGCAGCTACAATAATTCAGTCATTACCTCTTAGATCCCAAAACATATCTGTAACTTCTCCATCTTGTAATAGGATGTGAAACACTGTTCTTAAGAGACCAATGAGATAATGAGACTGTAAATTCGAGTTATTAGATATTTTGGAAAGGACACTAGCCTATTAAAAACACACAACACACAGAAGATGTCCAAGTTACTGAGAACCAAGTACACATCACTGTCCTGAGTGTAAAATAACTGAATTCAGAGAAGCATTAAAAGCCTTAAGCCTAGCTGACATAAATGGTCACAAATAAAGTTTTAATTCTCACCTATTAAAGCCTGAAAGAGGTTGCTCTGAAATATGTTAATAACCCGTTCTATGGAACTTCTAAGTTGTCTGTCTTCAGTCTGGCTTAGTTTTGAACGATATTCTTCCAAAAGGTGCAACGCTCTCTGGGTATCTGAGAAGAAAAGAGCCTGATTAAAATGATATATTTACAAGGAAGTATTATTACATGCTAATACACATAATTGTGCAAGACATCGAAACAGTTCACCAAATCCTGCAGGTCAACTATTTGACTGTGTTTGTGTACACATATTCCCTGGAATGATTTGAAATTCTGAAAATATTTATCATAATAGAAAGAGGAGGAAAGTGAGCAGTCAGTAACAAATGTGTACTGGTAAAAGATGATTAAATCAAAGTATCAGCGACATAGTTTCAGATCACCACTGATATGCAAAAGATTATCTACAACTCTGTCATTATAATCCAAATTTTAAGTGTTTCAAAATACTAGCTTTTATAATAGTATCCCACAGTCGCTCATAAAACAGTGTTCAGCAAGAATGCTAGAGTGAACACCAAGACACCTATTTAGAATTTTTTAAAAAGACATATCAAAGAGAAAAATCAATTCTCTCCCTAGTCATTAGAAAAATGTCAAGAAATCAAGTTTTACAAACATTCAGGTATTTTCATCTTCTGAAATGTTATGAAGCTTGGACTCCCTAAGCAATGAAGTAACACCGTGCTATCTCATCAAAGTTAGACAAACACTTTGAAAATAGCAATCACAAAATTGAAAAGCAAGTGACATCTACAAGAGTTAAACAAATTCTCACCTTGCTTCCGGACCGGCATTTTTCCCAGAATCAGGAAGAGGACCCACACCTTTAAGAACAGAAAAGGACAAAAGAACTAAAGAAAAGAACGGAATCCTGGCTCCACTAGCATTTGCCCTTAATCTCAGATCGAAAAACTCCTAGCCTATTTGAAAAGCCCACCTTCCAAAGTTTTCCCAAGCCAAGGAAAGCCTCAAAACCCAGCAGTGTCCGTCAATGTAGAAAGCTTTTTCCTAGAGATGGGTACCCCTGCATATTAAGAGCAGACAGAAGTCTGCTTCCAAATTCTTCTCCAAAGCTTCCCTCCACAAAGGGCACAAAATGCCTAGCGTGGGCCCCCTCCCCCGGCACTAGTGTCCACGCTCCCCACCTGCTCCCGGGAGCGGGTGGGTGAAGAGCTGCTCTGACCCTTGGCCCCCGAGCCAGCAGCGGCCGCAGAGCGCTCCGAGGGGACCAGCCGGACCAGTCACCCCGCCTTGCTCGGCCCCCTCCTCTCGCTTGCCTTTCTCCTGGCTCGCTTCCTCCGGGCTACTCCAGCGGGGACCGGACAGGGCAGCGGCCGCTCTCCGCGACGCCCTCGCGCCCCACATGCACACCTCCGCGGGCCCCCACACCTGCGGCGCGGCCCCAAAGTTCCCGCGAGGGGCGTGCGGC